TTGTCTTTACTTTGATATGCACTGCAAGATTGGACTGAAACTGGGAGCACTGAGTGGCCTTAGGCTGTAAGTGGTGCTCTCCAAAGATCTTTCTTGTACCAACAACTACAGCTTTTTGTCTTTTACAAGACTATCCTCTTAAATTTGCCCTAGCTTAGAGTGTTTATAATGATTAAAGTTTTTTATTTAAACATAAATGGAGATATTAAACTAATCTAATAAACCAGTATGTGCTTGATCTTTGGCATTGTAACAAGGAATCTTTTAAATTAACTTTATATTCTTCATGAAACACAATACAGGGGTGTGATTAAGTTTTAGCCCTCACTTTCTTCACTTTGTCAGCCAAGTAGAGGTCTGCACTACTCTAACAAGAATGAGCCATGCTCCTAGCTGTATGTGCTGTAGCCCTTACTCGTATTCTTGATATCAAGGAGAGAAAACTGTTCTTCATATCTGCACATCCCTGCTTACACTTATTTAATCTCATGCTTACCACTTGGGGCAATTACATCATAATCTGGCAAGATATATTTTACCTTTAAGATCAGGTACCTTTGACTAGTCCTTGTCTTCTATAATTAACAAATACTATGAAGATTACTTCAACAGCTACCCAAACAGAATTAACTGGACTTTGAAAGCCATAAAAAACCAACTCCTCTTGTGGTGCCAATTCTCTATCTTAAGAACTACTGATCCTTGCCATCCATGAATACCATAATAGAATTTGGATATCTTATTATCATACGCAATGGACTTGTCCCTACAACAGCTGGATATCTTGACAGAAAGGACACTTAGATTATTTAAGGAAATATTCACAAGCTTTATCTGATAATCAATGAGGGCATTGGCAATAAGCAGCTAATAAAGAAAGTGTAGAATATAAAAGGACCCTGCATTTCATAAAAGATGAATGAACATGCAATATAGGTAAATGTATTTACTATTGGTAATATCATATGTGTGTGTGTGTGTGTGTGTGTGTGTGTGTGTGTGTGTGTGTGTGTGTGTGTGTGTGTGTGTGTGTGTGTGTGTGTGTGTGTGCATGCATTTGAGTGATCAAGTATGACTATGTATTAGTGAGTGACTGTGTGTGTAGGCAAGATTGTGAATATAATTTCTTTATATCTTTTATACATAAGTTCTTTTCATAAACTTTCTTTATGCTTCCTTTCTCTTATTTCCTTACTACCCATATCCTCATAATTCATTTCAAGGAAGATAGTGAGATTTTTTTTCTCATAATCATAGTGACTTTATCATATTCAGGTCTATCTAAAACTTTTGGTGACCAGTAACAGAAAGCCTACAAACTGAAGCCCAACACACTAATGATATCCTGTGAAGTGAGTGCCGTGGCCTCCCTTCTTTGCACCCCAGTAGAGGCTAGAAAACTCCATCAAGGTTTGGTTTATTCCTTAACAGAAGATCCATCATCAGGAACATCTACAAGCTCTACATTGTTATAATCTATTTATATCATTCAAGTTTATTGGTCTTTCCTAAGACACTAACAGATGCTGAGTAGTCTTCAAAACACTTATAAGACATTTATTACATAATATTATAATATATATCTCACACAAAAGGTCTTAACAAAGGTACAATAATATAAAAAGCACAGAAACAAACACCATTCCTCTGAAAAATATACCATCATTGGCCGGAGAATCAAAATACACCCGTGATTTTATCCTGAAATATTCAAGATTAAAAAAGAAATGTCAACCGAAATTAATTTATGCAATATCATTGAAATTCTATATTTTTTCGAAATGCAGCCAAGCATGCAACATGGCACACATACTCTCATTCAATAAAGCAAATTCTTTATTTCTTCAGATTTTCAAATAACAATGGACGTATTAATAAGCGGATAATACTTATTACACAAAGAGAAATTATCTAAATACTTGTGATTTTTTGACTTACCTCATCTTTATCTGCTGCCTCCATGTTGTAAAGATGATCTTGGCTAATATACTTCGGCGAAACACGTCTCCTATATCCTATTTCTCTTTGATTTTTGTTCTTCGTGTTTTCATCTTCAGTCCATTCGCAGAGACCCGCGCAAGACGGTGTTCGAACCCTTGCGTTAAAACTTGGGTGAGGGTAATTTCGCAATTTTATACGCATATACTGACGACTTATCTTCGTTCAGCAAGAATATTTGTTTTATCTATCTGATCATATTACCAAATATATGATATAAAATTATCTTTTGTTAACAAGCATAAGATTATACATTGACTCCAGATAACACTGAAAACGAACAAGCGTAATCAGCTGATCCATGTAAACAAACAGAGGACAGCGGTCATGCGCACCCACGAAGCGTGACGTAATAGCCGATGGGTCAGCCATCTATTGGCCTGTATCCGAACTACACGCAGTTACCAATGTGTGATTATCTGACTTTTTTTTTTTTTTTTTTCTTTTTTTTTTTTTTTTTTTTTTTTGCTTTGACCAATGAGTCAATTTGCTGCATTTGTGTTTTAAATGACGTACGATACGACAAAGCTGAATTATGGTACTGGCGTGCATAGGGGTTTAGAAGGACAATTATGTTGCATATGCAAGGATGCGCAGTGTATAAGAGAAAATATGTCCCTTATTACCAATAACACTCATATCACTGTATGTATATCTGAGATGGAAAAGGATGATCAATGACATGCGGTGCCCTGCCATTTATCTATTTTTTTTCGAGATTTGCATTATACTCGGGAACTTCAATGCAGTGTCCAGCTGCATTCGAGCTGATATTTCCCTATAAATTAATAGTGAAAACAGCCTACTTCTTTGGGTCTTTGTAAGATCTCAGAGGCTGAAGATTGACGGTCCATGTATCAGCTCTCAATCATAACGACCCAAACAATACAGCCAAGGAGAATAAACACACGAACAGTTGCAAGCTGTCCCGACTGTCTTTCTGCAACTGGGTACCATTCCACCAGAACGTCTTGCAGCAAGGTAAAGGTTGTAGTCATCCATATCTGGAAGGGAGAAGGGAATTGCTAGAACTATGGCAATCACAGAAATAGCATAATGAATAAGGCGCTTGCTGTCATTCGTCTTTTATATATTGGAGACCACATGCAAAAGAAAAAGAAAAAAGAAAAAAAAATGTGGTACGCTTATAAAGAAAGAAATATGCACACAGCGGATATGTTATCGGAAAGGGTAACTATCAACAAAAAAAGACAGGTCTAAAATAATCTTGTCGACAATCGAACAGAGCAACGAATCAATATACTTCACTCTGAAGAAAACGACACAATTCCATTCAATTAATTTCGTCAGGTGAATTGAGGGAAGCGACAAAGTCAATCTCTTGAAATTACAATAATTAATTAAAAGGAACAGTTAACACTACTGGAACTTTTAGTTTAGAAGGAAGAAATGAAAGAGGAAGTACGTTTGTAACAGGTGTGTCGACAGTAAGCATTTGTTAGCCGATGCAAACAACGGTTCAAATAGCGTCCCATAAGACTCCATGGGGGCTGCATAAAAACCAGATCGAATAGACAATATTTCTTTCAAAACTACAATACTCCTTTCAGAAATTTACATAATCCGTTTCAAAAATTTACAATATCCGTTTCAGAAATTTACAATATCCGTTTCAAAGATTTACAATATCCGTTTCAGAAATTTACAATATCCGTTTCAAAGATTTACAATATCCGTTTCAGAAATTTACAATATCCGTTTCAGAAATGCAGTATCAAGGGCGAAGAGATCCGGATATATTTTTTCTTCATCTCCCAAACCAGTTCTCGATTTAATCTAGATTTCGCAGGCTTCTGAAAACTGTGCAAAGGGAGGTTGTATTCCTCTTCGTGGACAGATGGATTTATTTAATACATCGATATGTCAGGGCTGCCCCCCCCCCCTCTCTCTCCCTCTCTCTCTCTCTCTTCCTCTCTCTCTCTCTCTCTCTCTCTCTCTCTCTCTCTCTCTCTCTCTCTCTCTCTCTCTCTCTCTCTCTCTCTCTCTCTCTCTCTCTCTCTCTTCCTCCCTCCCTCCACACACACACAGAGATATAATCCACTTTCCTATGTTTGTATCTCCGCCTCTTCTCTGTTTTTCTTCCCCTTCCCTCTCCCTCGCCCTATCTATTTCCTTTTACCTGCTGGATGGTTTCATGTTTCAGACAGAAATACAAAAAAAAAGAAGAAGAAAGTTTGACCTTCGTAAAAATGAATTAGAATTTTTTATTTATTAATGAATTTCCATCTCATCTCCTTCACTCCCTCCTTCCGTCCATCTCCCTCTTCTTCCTTGTTCTTACCTATCCTTCCCCTCTCCCCTCCCTGTTTCTCCATCTCCCTTCCTACGTATTTTCGTCCTTCTCCCTCCTTCCCTCTTCCTTTACTTCTCCCTCTTCCTTCCTTCGTTCTTCTATCCCTCTTCTCTCTCACTTCCGTTTTACGTTCTTCAACGAAAATCAATTGGAACTTTTCATTTATTCACTTGTTTCCATTTTGCGTTTATTCAACACTTCAATTTTGCTTTCCTAATACATTAGTGGAGCTCGGCCGAGGCTGTGGAAAAAATATAATCAATAAGAACTTTTCATTTATTTATTGATTTCCATTCTATATAAATTTATTCAACACCACGAGTTTCCATTTAAGGATTTTCATTTCCTCGTGTTTCGTGCAGTCCGACCAAGGCAGCGAGGGCGGCGGAGAACGATGAACAGAGACCTTCGTGAAAATCCATCAGAACTTTTAATCTATTCGTCATTAGATCTCTACTTATTCAATACTTCATTTCTTATTTAAGGATTTGTATTTCTTCGCATGTGGCAGAGAATGAAAAACAATTAGAAAGTTTCATTTATTCGTTTATTCTCATTCAATGTTTCCTTAATTCAACAACGCCATTTTCTATTTACAGATTTTCATTTCTAGTAGATTTTCTAGTAGATTTTCAATTCTAGTGGAGATCGACCAAGGTAGCGAGGACCGCACGGAATGAAAATCAACTAGAACTCATTCAATTATTTATTTTATTTTCATTTAATATTTACTTAATTTAACAATGCCATTTTCTATTTAAAGCTTTCAATTTCTTCGCATTTAGTGGAGTTCGACCAAGGCAGCGAGGGCGGCAGAGAAGCCCGCGTTGTAATCACAGGCCACCTCGTTGTGTACATAGTCGTTCCGGTCGTCGTTGTAGCTGCCGTCCTGGGGGAAAGGGGAGGGGGGGAGGGGGGTAAAGAGGGCTTACCGAAGAGCTGCGATTATTATTAGAGTAATTTTATTATTATTTTATATTTTTATTATTATTATTATATTATTAATTATTTATATTATTAATTAATTATATTAATTATTATCTTATATTTTTATTGCGAGGTTAGGGGTGGGAAGGAAGGGATGGGAAAGTTGTGAGAGAGAGAAAGTGGGTGGAAGAAAGGGAGGGAAGGGTTGAGGGAGGGAGGAAGGGTGGAAGGGAAAGGGAGGAAGTAAGAGTGAGATAGATAGAGAGATTGACAGATAGATAGATAGATAGATATATAGATAGAAAGAAAGAGATAGAGATAGATAGATAGAGATAGAGATAAATAGAGATAGATAGATAGAGATAGAGATAGATAGAGATAGATAGACAGATAGATAGATAGATAGATAAATAGATAGAGAGAGAGAGAGATACATTTAGAGATGAATAGATAGATAGATAGATAGAGAGAGAGAGAGTGAGAGAGAGAGAGAGAGAGAGAGAGAGAGAGAGAGAGAGAGAGAGAGAGAGAGAGAGAGAGAGAGAGAGAGAGAGAGAGAGAGAGAGAGAGAGAGAGAGAGAGAGAGAGAGAGAGAGAGAGAGAGAGAGAGAGAGAGAGAGAGAGAGAGAGAGAGAGAGAGAGAGAGAGAGAGAGAGAGAGAGAGAGAGAGAGAGAGAGAGAGAGAGAGAGAGAGAGAGAGAGAGAGAGGGAGAGAGAGAGAGAGGGAGTGAGGGAGGGAGGGAGGGAAGGAGGGAGGGAGGGAAGTAGAGAGAGAGAGATAGAGAGATAGATAGATAGATAGATAGATAGATAGATAGAGAGAGAGAGAATAAACGTGCATTTTTTTTCCGAAAAGAAGTTAGAGAAAGAAAGAAAGTGGAAATTATACTATCTAAATAGACAGAGATCCAGGCAAACAGATACCAAGACAAACATAAATCAATATAGATACGAGTATCTTTGCAATAATTGTTCCAATATAAATAATAAAAAAATCGCGCACAAATCTAACCCAGAAAACAACAACAAAAGAAAAAATAAAGAACACGACAAAAGAAAGAAATAAATAAAAGCGAAAACAGAAGAAAACATAAAGAAATGCGACAACAGAAGAAAAAAATAAAGACAACAAAAGGAAGAAAATAAAGAAAACGAAAGCAGAAAAGAAGACTCTCCTTCCGGAAGTCGTACCTGGCTCGGTCCCCCGACGAGGGCTCCGTACAGCACCTGGGGGTTCGGTCCGGGGTTGTTCTGCGCCCAGCCGTCACTGCACGAGGCGGGGGGGTTCGGGCACGAGCTGGGGGGTGAGGACAGGGCAGAGGGTGTTAGGGTGTTAGATGTTCGTTGTTAGAGACGGGTTTTTTTGTCTTTCTTTTCTATTGTTTGTGGTCATTTTCATTATTTTTCTTGCTCGTTTTTTCTCACTTTCTCTCTTCCATTCACATACTTTAACCCCTTCTCTCTCTCCCTCTCTCTGTCTCTCCGTCTCTCTGTCACTGTCTCTGTCTCCCTCTCTCTATCTCTCTCTCTCTCTCTCTCTCTCCTTCTCCCTTTCCTTCCCTCCGTTCCTCTCCCTCTCCCTTGTCCCTCTGTCCCTCTCCCTCTCCCTTTCCTTCCCTCCGTTCCTCTCCCTCTCCCTTGTCCTTCTGTCCCTCTCCCTCCTTTCGTCTCTCTTTCTCTCCCTCCCTCCGTTCCTCCCTCTTTTCTTCCCTCCCTCCTCCCTTTCCTCTTTACCTCTCCTTCCTTCTCTCTCAGTCTCCCTACCTTCGTACTTTCTCCCTCTCCCTTCTTCCGTTCTTCCATCCTTCTTCTCCCTGCTTCCCTCTGCCCTTCTTCCTTTCCTGTTCCCTCTAACTTCCTCTGTCGTTCCATCCCTCTTCCTCTTCTCTCTCTTTCCCTTTCCCTCTCCACCCCTTCCTCCCTCTTTTTTCACTCTCCCAATTCCCTATCTCTCTTCCTGACCCTTCCTCCTGCTATACGTCCTTCTAATCTTCTCCCTCTTTTTCTTCCTTTTCTTCCATCTCTCCCCCTTTTTCATCTCTCTCTCTCTTCCTGATCCATTCCTCCGTCTATTCCTCTCCCTCTCCTGTCTCCCATCTCCCTCTCTCCTTTCTTCCCTCCCTCTTCCTCCCCCTCCCCTTTTCCCTCTTCCTCATCCTCCCTCCCTCTCCCTAATCCTCCCTCCTTCCCTCTCTCTCCCTCTCTCATCTCTTCCCTCCCTCCCTCCCTTTTCCCTAATCCTACCTTCTTCCCTCTCCCTCTTCCTCACGGTCCCTTCCTCTCCTCCCCTCCCTCTGTCTCTCCCTAGTCCTCCCTCCTTCCCTCCCTCTCCCTCACCCTCTCCCCAATCCTCTCTCCTTCCCTCCCTCTCCCTCTCCCTAATCCTCTCTCCTTCCCTCTCTCTCCCATCTCTTCCCTCCTTTCCTCTCTCTCCCTAATCCTCCCTCCTTCCCTCTTTCTCCCATCTCTTCCCTCCTTCCCTCTCTCTCCCTAATCCTCCCTCCTTCCCTCTTTCTCCCATCTCTTCCCTCCCTCCCTCTCCCTACCTAGCTCGGTGGTGGGGGCGCTGCGGCGGGTTGGTGCCGAACCCGACGACGAAGGAGCGGCCGGTGGAGCCCAGGAGACAGTCGATCTGCTGCTGCGCCCACTGTCGGTTCACGTCCACGTCGATGCCTAGTTTGGCGGCCTGTGAGACGGGCGGAGGAGGAGGGTGAATGGGCGGGCGTGTTGGGAAAGCTGGATGCATCTGGACATATTTTTTTCAAGGCTTTTTGTTCTTATTTATCAATTTTTTTTTTTTCACACTATGGAGGAATCGTATGCGTATGCTCGCACGTGTGTGTGTGTGTGTGTGTGTGTGTGTGTGTGTGTGTGTGTGTGTGTGTGTGTGTGTGTGTGTGTGTGTGTGTGTGTGTGTGTGTGTGTGTGTGTGTGTGTGTGTGTGTGTGTGTGTGTGTGTGTGTCTAAGTGTGTGTATGTGTGCTTGTATGTGCGTATCTGCGTGCGTGCGTGAGCTGACCATGAGCGCGACGTAGGCGACGTTGGCGGCGTGCCTGTTGGCACCCCACGGGTCCAGGAAGACGAGGCCGCCGGGCGTGTAGGGCTTGTCGTTGCGGATGTGCTCGACGAAGGCGGCCAGGGCGTTGCTGAACGTCGGGTCGGAATCCAGGAGGGCGTACAGGGCCTTTAACGGGCGGCAAAGAATAATAAAAAGACTAATAATGAATAAATAATTGGATAAAGAGCAAAATACCATTAACACTACTAATGATATAAAATGAAAAAAGGTCTTTTGTGTAACCTCTATAGGAAGAAGTGGGTGGCGTAGTATTTAGAATATTGCATGAATTGGATTCATATCAAATCCCCTTATAACATAATTCGCTTGACATGGTCGTCTACTCACGGAGCAATTTCAAGCAAAGATCCCTTATACAACAAACCCAACCATACGCCATAGTGTTAAATGGAAAACAATCACCGACGACTGTCTTGCGCGTGACTTACATATACGCCTCCCTTCTTGTCGTCCCAGCTGAAGCCGTCGGCTCCATTCGAGATTTCGAACTCGTCCCAGTGCTGCTTGGCCTTCGTCATGTAGCTGGAGTCGCCCGTCGCGCGAGCCAGCCACAGCGCAGCCCAGCAGAGCTCGTCCCCGTAGCCGCTCCATGATCTGAGGGTGCCCGGGCCTCATTAAAACTTTGCAAGGGCCCATTTAGAATATTTACTTGAGTCATCCCTTTCATAGCCACAATGTCGTTTTCTTTGATTGGATATGCGTCCACCATTTCCCGTTTTCGTCTCCATTACGAGAAATTTCTTGCCTCCGCTCTCTATATCAAAGCGCCTTTTAAGCCACTTTTTTAAGGACAGAGAGAAGGAACGTCGCGATGGTAGGGACGGTGATACCTGTGCTGGTTATGGTGATGGTGGTAGCTGTGGTGGTGTGTGGTGAGGGTTGTGGTGGCCGTGTGGGTATTAATGCGGTTATATTTGTGGTAAGGGTGATGAAGACTCAAGTGACCGTGTGGATAGTAATGGCTAAGGTTATGTGGTTAGTAATGGCTAAGTTGGGGTACATATGACCGTGGTTGTGAGACATAAATACATGTAATTACAATAATTACATGGCTGGCATCCCCAAGTCTTAAGGGGTACATAATCAACAGTACGGAAAACACACCTTTGAACATTGCCCTTGAAAAAAAGTCTCTTAATATTTCCACAAAATAAATAATTCATGTGACTTCATCCCATCCCCTCTGCCACTCACTTGTAGAAATCCGATGCGCCGGGGATGGAAACATCATAATTCTCACGGCGTTGGTCAGCGAAGTCGTAGAGCTCCTGCGCCACTGCTAGCATCTGGCTGGAGTAAGACGGGTCCGAATCCTATAGGGAGAATGGACACGTATTAAGCCTTAAGAAAATAACGCGAATGAAATAAAAAAAATGTAAATAAGAAAAGAAGAGAAAACATGACCGTTCTCTTCTTTGGGAATGAAAAATAAGGTAACTATGATATAGAAAAGAAGATATGACTTTTCTCTTTTTTGAATGGAAATGAAAAATAAGGTAATTTACAATAGAAAAGAAAAGAAAAAACGAGTCAACATGAATTTTCTCCGTTTTTATAAATGAGTAAACGTAATGCATTGTCATGAGCCCCAAATTTGCTACGTATTATTTTGCAGAAAAAATCAATAATATAATATTCTTTAAATATCAAGATGGCAAACCTTGAAGGCCATGGAAGCGGCGGCGAGGGCAGCAGCCGTCTCTCCTGCAAGCTCAGTGCCTGGGGAAAGAAGTTCATTAAGAGAATGAATTGGAAAACATGGAATCAGTCGATACTCGTTTTCTTATTAATTTTCCTCTGAGGATAAGACCTGGTCTTGACTATTTAGTTTTAGTGTGTTTGAAGGAAACGCTGTTGTTGATTTTTTTTAAAGTGTGAAGCTGTATGTGATTTTCCCTTTCTCCCTTTGAGTCTTTATTTTTGTCTCTTACTTATTTTTTTCTATATCTCCATCTTCTTAACTAAGGACGTGCTTCTAGTTATTAAAATATCATTTTGGTCGAATTCATAGAACAGAAAGTAGGCTACCTTTGTCAGAAGTCAAGAGAGGGTCCTTATTTGAAATGAATACATACCCTTCGAAATGTCTGCACACGTCACCATTCCTACAAACAATCTCACTTCGATTCTAAAAGCAATATTGCAACAAAGCATTTTCCGGGTGATCCGTCTGTTTCCCCCTCTTTCTTATCTTCATTATTCTTCCTTGTTTTTTTTTACCCTCTTTCTCCCCAAATCCATTTCTTTCCCGCCCAGCTGACGCCGTACCTGGGTGATCATTATCAATCTTCATGGAGGGCCGAGCCATCGTCATCTCCTCCGGGCGACCCCAGTAGGCGTGGTCAGCGTAGCCGTCTCCCACCTCAGGGACGAAGAGAAACACGAAGATAATAATGGTAGGTTCATCAGGTAATCAGACAGCAGGAAGATGATCGGTTAATCAAACAGCAGGAAGTTGATTGGTTAATTAAATAGCCTGAAGTTCATCGGTTAATCGAATAGCAGGAAGTTGACTGGTTTCAAAGTAAGATTTTAGTTATTTTCGATACGTGGAAAATGGAGGGAAAATTGGCGGTTTGTTTCCCTGGTGTTGTGGTTGTTATTTTTTTTCCTTCCCTTATCTCCTTCATCTTCGGCCTCTGCACGAGCGGTGTGGTGCGATTAAGATTTTTTGATGGGGGGGGCGGGGGCATATGCGAATTAATCTAGTCTACCTTTCCATATTCTTGCTCTCTGTGTATTATCTCTAAGTTTCCTACCTCCTTGCACACTAGCTCTGTATTTCCACACTAATTCAGTACACAAATAGTAATATTCATCCATACACTTTCCATGGCATCTGAATTAACAATACACAATACTCCAGTGCACTAAACTGTACATGACGGATGATATCTAACAACAGCGCACAATATATGATAGGAAATATATAATGCCAATATACTATACATGGGAAGAGATATGCAACGCCAGTGCACTATACACGATAAGAGATATAAATACACTATACAGGGCAGGACTTATACAATATGGCAGGATGTATATATTGTATCCATACACTATGCCACACAGCTACATACCTGGCCGTATAATTCAAAGTGTGAAGTGTGAGCCTTAAGGAAGTAATCAGTAGCCCATTTCACAGCCGCTCTGGCGTACTCGGTCTGACCTGCAATTGCAATCCGAGGTGTATGGCAAGATGTTTGGCAAAATAAAAGAAAGAAAAAAATCTGTAATAGTGGGAAAGGGGGATACTAATATGGATGAAATCATTCCATCTAAAAAAAAATAGATGGATGGCAAATTACAACTGGTCTTTTGCTAAGAGGTGCATGGTAAAAAAATCTTAAACTGTAATGGCAAAGAAAGAGGGAGGTACGGAAAAGGCAGAAATTCATTCCACCTAGATAAGTGTACCATTAGAGAGAAGTATAGCAAAAAAGAAAAAGAAGAAAAAAAGATAATGGGAGAGGGAGATATGAATACATCAAAATTCGCTCAACCTAAATAGTGACAAAGGAGGAAAGGTAAATAAGTTTTTTTTTGTTGATAGATTAATAGCCATAATCATGTTAAAGTGGATGCATCATTGTTCTTTGTGGATACTGTTTATCTCACAGGATGGATAATGGTGGATAATGATAATAATCACAATAATGATGATGACAACATTCATGATAATGATACTAATGTGATCAATAATAATGATTGCCATAATGATGATAATAATAATGATTATTATCATGCTGTGATTACAATAGTGATAATAATAATGACTGTAATTGTAATAATGATAATGATATTGATAATTATTGCGAAAAAACAACAATAATACTAGTATATAAATAAAAGAATAAGTCCCTCCCCCTTAAAAAAAAATCGCACATTCTTACAAAACGAACAGTAAAAACAACCAGAATAATCAACCGACCAGATACTCCGAGAGCAAGCCAGCAAGCAAGCAAGCAAGCAAAGGAGCAGAGATCTCTCCCCCATCGACGCACCTGCTGCCTTGTGTCCGGCGGGGAAGTCGACGAGGCCCCACGCAAGCATAGTCGCCGTGAAGGCCATCGGGAAGCCGAACTTCACGAAATCACCGGCTGTGGGGGGGAAGAAGGGTGTGGGTGAGTGTGTGTGGGGAGGGTGGGGAAGGGTATGGGTCGGGGGAAGTGTGGGGGGATGAGGAGGGGTGTGTGTGGGGAGGATGAGAAGGGGTTTGGGTAGGTGTGTGGTAGGTGTGTGGTAGGGGGTGTATGGGGGAGAGGGATGGGGGTGGTAAGAAGGTGGTTGTGTGGGTGAGTGAGTGGGGGGAGGGATGAGTCTGTGTGTGTATGCGAGCGCGCGCGTGCATGTCTATTTTTTTCTGATATGTTGATACCTTGAAACAGACCTGTCACGCTATTCGTAACCGTAACCTCTTCATCTTAATATTTGCTATTCCAACGATAGTTTTATCATTGCCATCCCTCCCTCCCTGCCTCACCATCATAATATCCCCCCGACAGGTCATGGCCAACGTCCGATCCATCGTTGACGGCCGAGTCCTTCCTCCAGGTCACCCTCTGGTCAGCCGGGAGAGGACCCGAGCGCTGCGCCTCATAGAACAGGTAGGACATGCACAGAGCCTGGCGGAGGAAAAGAAGCTCGTTATGGCGCGGTTTTTAATGAGGGGATACATGTATAATATTTTTTGGACATGTAAGAATCCATTTATTTAGCTATCTAAGTATTTTTTATGAGGGGATTACATATGATATTTTTTTTAACCAGAATTTATGCTCTTTGTAAGAGGGACTAAATGTATAAAAATGCTTCATTATGGGGGATTGTACGTCTAATGTACAAAATACATCTTTACCAGATCTCTATATATTTTTTATTTATTTAGGATTACCTATATGAATTAGTTTTTGTTCATGATAAAATGCTTCTTTACCAGATCCATAATCTTTATGTTAGGGATTAAGTATATAATCGATTCAGATGTTCAGATAAATGATTACCAATATCTGCAGTATTTCTTTAAATATACATATAACTGTTTGCTCTAGATGTTTTGCATGTATTTGTTGGGTTATAGATATTATAACTAAAAACGAAAAATAAAAAAGTACACGTGTTAAATATTAATATAATAAAATTTAAAAAATCTGCTTTGGATCAGGAAATCTCCTCGCTTTCTCATATATTTTTTTTCTAATTCTACTGTTCCTGGGATTGCAATGGCACTGAAAACCCCCAGGCTAGAATATGTTCGGATTAGCCTCATATTAATTTCAAAATGGAATAAGAACATTCGTGTGTTGCTATATTGCATAAAATGTCACGTCACATAATTTCACATCTTATCATTATGTCACATCACACCACAGCGCACTACCTCATGTTACAGCACATCGCGCTGGATTATATCACGTAGTATTGCACTGTATCACATTATTTCACATCACACAGGGACTCCTCACGTCGCATGCCATACATCGTACCTCATCACACCACATCGCGTCATACTATACCGCGTAATACAGTGCATCACAGTGCACTGTATCACGCAACACCACATCGCACTACATCACACAACACTACCACACCTCACCTCATCATATTTGTATCACATCATTTCACATTACATTACACCACTTCATAACACGTCACGCCACATCACATTGTACCACACCGCATCACTTCACTTTCACATCATACCACATAACTTCAAGTCACATCACATCACATAATTTCACATTATATCACACCACTTCATAACACGTCACGTCACACCACATTATACCCCACCACATCACTTCACTTCACATCACACCAGACCACATCACAAGCATCCTCCTCCCCTCCCCCCTTCCCCTACCTGCCCGTAGTCGTAGGGGCCCATGCCCGTGGGGTCGCAGGGGCTCTCCATGGGAGGCTGGGTCACCACGCCGCCGCCGCCTGGGGGAGGGAGAGGGCGCTAGGTGAGGGAAATGGTGATAATAACGGCTGTGAGGATAAGGATAAGGATAAGGATAAGGAAAAGGATAAGGATAAGGATGGGTAGGATTCAGATGGGATTATTTTATGCTGTCAAATGGGTTTATTTTTATGCTGTCAAATTGGTTTATTTTTATGCTGTCAAATGAGATTATTTTTATGCTGTCAAATGGGTTTATTTTTACGCTGTCAAACGGGATTATTTTTACGCTGTCAAATGGGATTATTTTTATGCTGTCAAATGGGTTTATTTTTATGCTGTCAAATGGGTTTATTTTTATGCTGTCAAATGGGTTTATTTTTATGCTGTCAAATGGGTTTATTTTTATGCTGTCAAATGGGATTATTTTTATGCTGTCAAATGGGTTTATTTTTATGCTGTCAAATGGGATAATTTTTACGCTGTCAAACGGGATTATTTTTATGCTGTCAAATGGGTTTATTTTTATGCTATCAAACGGGATTATTTTTACGCTGTCAAACGGGAATTCATATTCGCAAGCACAATGGCAACTTTGTTTTCATTAATCTTGTTTTCCTCATTGCAGGAACGAATCTTCACTCTCATTCTCGAGGCGTCTGTCTCCCCCTCACCCCCACACAGACTTCTTCTCTCCCACTAATACCTCTTCTCCTCTCCCCCCACATGAACCTTTCCCCACCTTCCCCCACACCTAACCCCATCCTCGACCTTTCCACACCTAATTCCGTCCCTTCCTCCCCCCACATATATCTCTTTCTTCCCCCTACCCCACATACAATTCCTCTTCCATGCTACCCCCACACACAATCCTCCTTCCCACACTCCTCCCCCCTTCCCCATTCATCTCCCCACACAGATCTCCTTCCATGTCTCCTTCCCCCACTCTACCCACTCTCCCCTCCCCACACCCCATCCCCCTTCTCCCCCACCCAACCCCTTCTCCCCCTCCGCCCTCCTTCCCCCTCCGCCCCTTTTCTCCCTCTCCCCCCACCCAACCCCTTCTCCCCCTTCCCTCACCCCACTCCCCATCCACCCATCTTCCCCTCTCCCCCCACCCAACCTCTTCTCCCCACTCCCCCGTCCTCCCTTACCTACCCAACCCTTTCTACCCCCCATCTCCCCCCACCCAATCCCTTCTCCCCACCCCCTTTCCTCCTCCTCTACCTACCCAACCCCTTCTTCTCCCCTTCCATCCTCCTCCCGCCTCCACCCCTTTTCTCCCTCTCCCCCCTTCCTCTCCCTTCTCCTCCTCCACCTCCCCCCCCCCCCCCCCTATTCACTCACCGCACGTGTCGGCTCCATTCATGACCGCCGCGACGACCGAGGGTTTGGCGCCGGCGTAGTCCACCTTGAACTCGAAGCTGACGCCCCAGCCCGGCTCCGCGTGCCACCCCGACGACACCAGCTTGAAGTACTTGTCGTCGTGCCACTCAATCACGCCCGCGTAGAACTATAAGAGAGATCGAGAGCGGGTGAGGGAGAGGGATATATATATATATATATATATATATATATATATATATATATA